GGGGTGCGCCGTCAGAATGCCTGTCTTCTGAAGTGTCTCTGGTTTGGGACAGGAAGGGCGAGGGGGAGCTTCGCCGCTCGGCTCCTCCTGCAGCCCCCGCTGGGCCCCGAGCCGGCGTCGGACCAGCGGCTCTTGGTTCCCGGGCGACGCTCACCCGCCGAGCCACACGGGCGGGCCCCAAATATATTTCTTAATTCTCTCAGTGCTTTCTTCCAGTAGCAGCCTGTTTCGTAGATGCAGCTATCTTGAGTTTGAGAAAACAAACTTGAATTAAAAGAAAACTTTTTTGAATTAACTCCGTTTCCTACCGCGCCCCCCTTTCCAGTCCTTCCTTGTGCGTCGGCTTCCCAAGGGTCGGGCGGGCCCTCGCCACCTCTGCGCCCTCGCGAGCGGAGCGTGGTGGCTGCGAGGTCCTGTGCCTCCGAGTCGCTCGGGTCCCGGGAGGAATGGGTCCGCCCGCCCTGCGCCCTCCGTGTTCCCCGTGCGCTGCGCCCTGCGCCCGTCCGCGGGACCCCCGCTCTCTGTCCCACAGAAACGAGGCGCCTTCCTCTCTGCCCGCGGGACCCTCCCCCCCGTCTTACAGAAACGAGGCGCCGCTCCTCTGCTCTAGGTGCTGCCACCGTGGTTTTCACTGCCACGTAAACGAGATCTGAGGAAGGAAGGTAAAAGCACGCGCGGTCTCACACTGACTGTTTCGCGGACACTCACTCCGACCTCCTCAGCTCTGCAGTTCCTGCATTTGCTTTCAGGAGCACAGAAAAGACACTCAGCTTTCTCAGGCAGTGCTTGGGCGCCAGAACCCCCGGATCTGCCGTCCACCCCGGATGTCTCGTTCACAGCGGCCTGGCCTGCTTCAGGCCTCCCAGCTCGGTGGCTTCTCAGGAGATGGAGCTGTTTTCCTTCCTTAACTCTGGTTTAGTGTGCACTTATTTACTCAGTTTCTGTGTGTCCCTTTTTGTGAGGAAAGCTTGACTTTCTGAGCCTGTGTCTTTCTGCCAGTCACCGGACACCTGCCCTGTCTTTTTCTTCTTAGCTTGCAGAACAAGAGGGAGCAGACCAGGAGGGGAAAGAAGGGAGCTAAGAGCTAACTCTGAGTCTGGGGAAGTTCTGAGGTTGTTAACGTCTCTGTTAAGCAGAGCTCAGCCCCTCTTCTCCTGCCTGATGAATGATTAAACTGACTGTGAAGGGGATTCCTTCACCCATGTCTACCTTCTCAGACACTTGGCACTTGCTTTTGGGGGACTTTGCCTCTCCAAGAACCCCACCCGCATCTTTGTGAACATTTTAATGTTCATTTGAACAGAAGGGTTTTAGGAAACAGAGATAAGAGAATTATAAGGCATGTTTTCTGCCTCCTGGGATCTTACAGACTGGTTAGAATACTATATATAGTTAGGGCACATGAAACAATTAGTAATCAACTCCTGACAATACGTACATGTTAAGTTATATATTAACTGTAAATGTAAGGGTTTGGCAGAAGTCAGGAAGAGTTAGGGCTTGAGTTGTGCTTAAATGGGAAGGATTTAGAGGAGAAACTTGACAGTCCAGAGGGTGAAGAAGCTTGTGGGAGACAAGGTTCAGAGTGAAAATGATGCAAAGACTCTAGGGGAAGTGTGTGAGAAGAATGGGTGAGTGGAGGTCACGCCTGGAAGTCTCAAAATAGACAGCAAGGCCCCACAGTGACTATATAATGAGTTCTCATACCTACAAAAGTAGGTGTGCTGGAGAGGTGTAAAGGGATCAGAGCAGTAAGTGTTGGGTTTAGACTGAAAGTTAGGGTTCAGGATATAACATCATCTGACCCACCTACTGTAGCACTCTGTTTTTGCTTTTTGTTTTCGAATAGTTCAAGAAGTTGAAGAAGGCTGACAGAGAAGAGAGAAAGTGTAAAAACTGTTAAAGGGAGTCACTGATTTTTAAAAGTATAATCTTCAGAAATATAATCACCATCATTTCCCATTTAGGTGATCACCCACAGTCAGTATCAGAAATCCAAAAGGATTTCCATCTTCTTGAGCATGCAAGATGAGATTGAGACAGAGGAGATCATCAAGGACATTTTTCAACGAGGCAAAACCTGCTTCATCCCACGGTACCAGTTCCAGAGCAGTCACATGGACATGGTCAAGTTAGCATCACCCGAGGAAATTTCTTCGCTTCCCAAAACATCCTGGAATATTCATCAGCCTGGTGAGGATGACGTTCGGGAGGAGGCCTTGACAACAGGTGAGCACATGACAGGGTATTAGAATTGACATTTTAGGATGCTGTCAGACTGTGATGAGTCGTTAGACCTCTCATTTGTTTTTCCACTTATTTATGCATTCATTGGTGGTTCTTTGCATGTGCCCTGACCAGGGATTGAAGCTGCAACCTTGGCATATCGGGATGCTGTGCGAACCAACTGAGCTACCCCTCTGGGGCACTATTTTTATGTTATGTATACAGCAAAGTACCAGATTGGTAAATGAAATAAAGGGGCTGCCTCTTTACTGAATTTATCCTCAAAATGAGGACTGCCTGGGCAATTAGATTAGCCAGAAATCTTTCCATTCAAAGTAAAAAATATGATTCAATCTGCCTTTAGCAAAATGGGATTTTATTGGCCCAGAGACTTACAAATCCATTGAAGGGTGAGCTTTAGATATGGATGGGTCAGTCTCATCAGGATCCACACTCTCTCTAACTTTTGACTCTGCTGTTTTGGCTGTGTACATCTCATCCTGGGCTCTGCTGGGCCCAGGCTGAGATGAAGACGCTGACTATACGTAGGCATACCTAGGTGGAAAGTCTGCTGTACTCCTGAGTCAGAGTGCCAGGTGACACCTGTAATGTCTGAGTCCACACAGTGTTCTCAACACAGTCTGTGGGTATCATCTAGTAATGTTATGTGAAGACCAATACCACTGTCCCCAAAGTGACTGTCAGTTTTGTTTGTTTAATTTTTATTAAGCCAAGAAATAATTAGTGATTACAAGATCCTACAAGGTTTGATATTTCAGAATGACTCATAATAACAGCTCATGCTCTTCCTGGAAGAGGTGTTTCTAAACCTTTAGCACATCTCTCTTTTGCTTCACAAAAGTCCCCTTCACTAATTTTATTCAAACTCCCAAAATACATTATCAAGATTAAAAATTAATCAGAGCAGCTGTAATTTTGGAATGTGCTTGTGTGCACTATACCCGCCACTGTGGGAGTTTTGGGTGGCCTCTCCCTGGACAGTAGAGAGCCCTGCGCCCAGAGTTAGGCTCTGTGGGAGGCAAAGCAGACTGCCCAGTCCTCACTTCATCTTCCTTAGATGGTCTGATTGGAGCCCAGGGAGGTCAAGGGGCTTTTCCACAGACACAGAGGTAGTTCATACTTCTCCCGTTTTCCACTCCAGTGCCCATTGAAGCACCATTTCTTTCCTCAAAACCTCCATTAAGCTCGATTTAAGATCTGCATTTTCTTCTCTCCCCTGATGGCATACTGCAGGAGCACCGTTATTCATGGAATAGGCACCCTTGTGATTGCATTCCTGGGAACATTGTTACATGTTCCCAAGGAAGGTCTTGCACTGAGTCAGATGTATCTAAAAGTACGCTGATCATAACCTTAAGTGTTTTGCCCTCAGTTATTTTATATTCAAGTAAATACACAAGAGGAAGAGCCGTAGCTTTCATTTATATCGAGGTCTTTCTTTTGAATTGTAAGTGCACTCTGGATCGGCTTCCTTGGAGCTGTTCCAGAATTGTCTGTTTTATCTTTTGCAGCAGCAAATTTAGAATATATTCTCATTTCACAGAGTGGTAATTTACTTTTTGTTAACTCCCAGCCCATTAAGATGAAAAGATACTTCCTTGGGGGTTATGGCCTATTGTTCTTGCCGAGATGGGCTGGCCTGCTTAGTGTCCTAGTCAAGAATAACGACTAGCTGCATGCCATTGAACGTTTAAGGGTCATTAAAAGAACGAACCCACATAGAACCTCAGATATTTAAACTTCTTTTCCAATTAAATTTTTATTTCATTACCTTTGAGACGTTAAAGTGCCTATTAGGTTTATGTATGTTTCTGTATATGTTTACTTCAGAGAAGAGGCAGAATTTTTAATTCTTTAAAATATGTTTTCATTGATTTTAGAGAGGAGGGAGGGAGGGAGGTACGGACATCTATCAATTGCCTCCTGTAAGCGCCCCAACCAGGGATCGAAACCTGGGTGTGTGCCCTGACTGGGAATCGAACCCACCACCTTTCAGTGTGCAGGACGATGCCCCAACCAACGGAGCCACAATGACCAGGGATCCAGGAATTTTCATCTGGCAAAACTGAACCTCTGTTCCCATTAACAACTCTCCTCTTCCCCCTACCCCCCCAGCCCCTGGCAACCACCTTCTATTCTGTTTCTATGAATTTGACTATTTTAGATACTTCATATAAGTGGAATCATACAGTATTTGTTTTTTGGTGACTGGCTTAATTTATTTATTGATTGTATCACACAGATACACAAGGAATTGTCCTTAAAATTCTCAGAATTACTAAGCTTTGATTCTAAAGAGGTCTGAGAAATTGAAGAGTTCCATCCACTCATGTTACAGATGGATGAGGAAAATTGGATAGTCAGAGATTGCCCAAATTTAGTGGAAAATTGTAGTGAGTTCTATAATTTCTTCTCAGTTTTAAGCTCCGTTGATTATCAGTCAGAGAATCCCAAGCTCTGACCCAAAACACTGTTACATTTAGAAAATGCTGTTTGGATAAAGCTGCTGCTGCTGGTCCTGTGTTCTGCAAAGCATTTGTGTATATCTGCAATAAAGACAGTTTAATTCTTTTTTTCCCCCAATAAGATTATTTTGGTCAGTATCTGCTAGGGTGGAATAAGCTGAAGTTAGGTTTTCTTTTTCTCTTCTAACCTATTGTAGATGCTATAAAGCTGGGCTCAGCAAACTCTTTCTGTAAAGAGCCAGATAGTTAATATTTGGGACTCTGTTGCAACGACTCAGCTCTGCTGTTTCAGTGTGAAGCAGACAGTGGCTGGGTTCCACAGACACTTGATCCACAAAACCAGGCAGTGGGCCAGGCTTGACCCTCAGGCCGTAGTGACTCAAACCCTATGGTCAAATGTTGGGACCCTCTCTTCTCTTTTGGTCCTTGGCACCTAGCGTGCTATCTTTGATATAGGAGACAGCCACCAGAGGGCACTGGCGTTCCAGAGCCAGCACTGAATAGAAAGGCAAGATGCTTAAGCAAACAGCTTGTGGGGCTGGGTGAGCCAGGCAGCCTGGGAATGCAGAGTCCTGTTGGAAAGCCAGCAGAGCCTGACTGCAGAACAGCATGGGCCTTGTGAGGAGCACTTCTGGAACCTGGGGTTATAGTCCTGGTGCAGCTGGGGCTCCTGGCCTGTGAGTCACGTGTACACAGGACTGACGTCGGACGACTCTTCTTGCCCATGGTGCTAATGTCAGCATCCTCTCTTCATAAGCCTTGGGTGACTTGAAAATGGAGCCGTGCTAGAGGCTGATAAAGAATATGCGCACGGCCCAGGGTTTTTCTCCTGTCCCCTAGCTGAGTTTAGACTTTGCAGTGTTCAGTCAACCTCCATTAGTGGGGTGCCCCAGGGTGGGACCAGCATGTGCAAGGAAAAATATTAAGCCTGCACTTCATGTCCCAGTCCCATTGGTCGGTTGCCTGTGGGGGGAGAGAGCATCCAGCACAGTGTTAAGACAGTGTGCAGAGCCCAGGTGTGTGTCCATGGGGAGAGGGGAGGTATGCATGTGGTGATGGTGGTGACACAGGAAGAACTTCAGGGGTGACGACAAATGGATGAAGTCAGGGACTACACCACGTTTCAGGAGATTCACCAAACAGCAGGAGCAGGCCACAGAGGGGTCCTGAGGTCCTGAAGCCAGAGCAGCAGGTCACACCATGTTGAAGGGAGCAACCATGACATCCTGTGGGTTGGGGTCCAACAGCAATACCCCAGATAGGGCATCAGGACCCCTGCCTGTGAAGGGCCATTTCAGAGCCTTTCATCACCTTAGAATCCCAAAGCCGTTCTTTCTTGCCTCACAGTTGTTGAGCTCACTTTGGACAGACAGCATACGAGGTGATACTTCTGTCACTTTCTTGTCCCATAATGTTGCCCATAGACCTTGGAGTTTTTAAAATAGGGATGTCATGCTAGGATGGATCCACTCTGCAGGTGATCGACTCGCCTCTCAGGGTTTCTCTGACCTCAAATGCTGTTTAGGTCAAGCATGAAGGGCAACTGGGAGACACTGTGGCCCTCAAGGAAACAACCTGTCTGGTGGGGCAGACACCAGCCATTGCTGCCGTGCAGGGCAGACTTCAGGGAGGCTGTAATCAAAGCATAGGAGTAACCAGAGGAGAGGGAGCAAGATCAGCTCAAACTCGAGTGATTTGAGAACGTTACTTCCTTACTCTTGTTTCCTGTTTTCATCCTTCTGGCTGCCTGCAGATGGCCTCTCTGAGATCCTACTTCTCTCTCTTATGCATCAGTTGGTAGAAACCCAGACTCTTCTCCTGGCTTTCCTTTTGGTATCTTTGCCTTTAAAAAAAAATTGTGGTAGACACATAACATGGATCTACCCTCTTCACAGAGTTTCAAGTGCACAGCACAGTGTTGTTACCTGTAAGCACAGTGCTATATGGCATAAGTCCAATGTACCCTTCCATCCTGCATGAGTGAGACCTATACCTGGTGAGCAGCAGCTTTCCATCCCCCCCCTTCTCTGTCCCTGGTAACCACCATCTGTTCTCTGTGAGTTTGGCTACTTGAGATTCCTCATGGACGTGGAGTTGTGCAGTGTTTGTCGCACCTAAGCCGGCTTATTTATCTTAACCCACTGTGCTCAAGGTTCTTCCATCGTTAAAGCATATGGCAGGATTTTCATCTTTTTATGGCTGAGTAATATTCCATTGTGTGTACCGCATTTTGTCTTTTCATTTAACCCATCGATGGACATTAGCTTGTTTCCACCTTTTGGCTATTGTGCATAATGCTGCTGTGAGTTTCCTTAGCCATCAGAGAAAGAATAGATGTCATTAAAAACCCAAATTTCAGAGTGGTCTGTCTCTTTCTGGAACCATTAACTCCATCTGTGTGTTCATCTTCTCCACAGGGGGACTGGATCTCATCGTCATGCCAGGTCTCGGGTTTGACAAGCAAGGCAACCGGCTGGGGCGGGGCAGGGGCTACTACGATGCCTACTTGAAGCGCTGTGTGCAGCACCAGCAGGCAAAGCCCTATACCATGGCTTTGGCGTTCAAGGAGCAGATTTGCCTCCAGGTCCCAGTGGACGAAAATGACATGAAGGTAGATGAAGTCCTTTACGAAGACTCCTCAACATCTTGAGTCCTGCGCACTGCAGCCAGAAACAGAGTTTCATGCCTAAGAAATATGAACACAGAATATATGTATTTTTCTGTCAGGAATTAGCTGAAATTGCACACTAAGGGGAACACGGCTCCATTATTTTTAGTATAATTACAAAATACATAATATAAAACCACCTTTAAAAACTAATAGACTTGGGAATAATACAACATTAATTAAAACGGAGCCCATCACCGTGGGGGTGGAGCTTAATGTCATGTGTGAATGTGACAAGTTGATCTTTCCTCTTTTCAGTTTAAGTTAAATTTTTATGAGGAACTGTGCTCTGACTCAGAGTGAGGGAGGAAGGTGAGCACATCAGGAGCGGACGCTGTGTCATTAGTCCCGTCATGGGCCTGGTCCGTCTCTGGCAGGTATGTGGAGACTCACAATTACTCATTCATCCGCCAGTGTTTGCTCTATGTATGGAGTTCCTCAAGAACTTTATTTCTTACCCTTTAGTAGATACTTGGACATAGAGTGGGTGTTTGAGAATTCTTGGGGGGATGAGTTAATTGAATACATTTAGGATATTTTTATTTACGTGGATCCATATTCTTTGGATGATAGCTTATGATTTGCTGTTTCAGGCACAAAAATAAAAACACTTTAAAAATGTTCATTGATCTGAAGTAGGACTTTCACAGTGTAGTATGCACAACGAGGAGTGGGAAGGAAACAGTTATTCTAAGCTGTACAATCATATTACTGTGCTGGTTAAAAATCTGAAGGGTAACCTCAACCATGAGGTCAGGGGAAAGTTACTATAGCTCACAGACCGTTGGTGTGAACTGGCTACACAGTAAAATCCTGAGCGGCGGCAGGTCTGAAAGCTTTAGTCCCACGAAACTGTTATCCTTCCGCCAAAGGGGAATGTTAACCAATACCACCCAGCTTCCCCTGTGTGGGCAGCATGCAGGTGACTGACTGGGGACCCAGGTGCTGAGATTCAGGGCATGAGGGCTGCAGGGTCTCTCCTGGACAGGAGACCCTTCCCCAATGTCCATTCATGGGCAGTGGTCATTGTGCAGAGGATGTTGGAAAAGGGAAAAACAACCCTGACAACACAGGTGATGAGGATCTGTACCTGGGATCACCCACCTTCCTGGTGGACTGTGTGTGTGTGTGTGTGTGCGCGCATGCGTGCGTGTTGGGAGGGAGCCTGGCTGCTCTGCTGTGCAGTGAGGGCAGTGCTCGTTTTACCACCACCTCCCCATGTACTTTGCATTCGGCAGCTCCAAGAGCAGGAGCTTCCTCTGCTGAATTATTTCCAATTTCTTCTTAGACGTTTTAATCAGAGATGAAAAATGATGGTCTTTTTCCAGCATTTCAGTCTAAGAGGATGTTATTTGCCTCTTAAAGGCACATTAATTGGCAGTGACGTTAGTGGAGAAGACAGAGTGATGCTGTAGTGTAGAAAGGGACCCAGAATCTGGGGGTCAGGGATAAGCCCAGGTACTGGGTGGCCCAGGAGTTGTCAGGGACACTTGCCAACTCCCCTCCTCCCTCCACTCATGCAAGTTCCCATTGCCTGCTTAAGTGTATCTGCCCGCCATCCTCCAGAGTGTCAGTCACAGGACTGACCCACTGACATCCTCTCTAACGGCGCTGGCTCCTCTGCCATCTCCCTGTGGATTTCCCACCATCCTGCTGAGACCCTGATAAGACCCCTGCGTGAACTTTTGCCCTAGTTTTCTCTCCCTCACAACTGTTCTCTCCTCCTCTCCACATTCCCCTCCTTCCTCATCCCTACTCCAGAGTGAGGACAGGGGCTGCAGCACCCCCTCCCTCTCTTTCTTTGCCCAGCCCTCTCCAAAGCCACCTGTCAGTATATGTGGGCTCAGGCAGGAGGGCAGAGTTTATCAAATTCCCTTTCTCTGGGCCACATAGCAAGACTAGTTTTCCTAGATCTCTGGCTCGGGAGGACGTGTCCCACTTGGGAGGGTTCTCAGTGTCCTAACCCACAGCTGCCCAGCAGATGCTACTCAAATCAACAAAACCATGAAATATGCCCAGTGGGAAAGGAGAAAAGTAAATGAAAAGGTAATTCATAAGAGACACAAATAGCTGTTAATGTATGAGAAGTATTTAGTTTCACGTATCACTTGAGAAATGTGGAGTAAACCACGTTAGTGGTAAGAACTAATCAGGAAAGTGAGGGAGAGTTTTGGCTGTGACGCAGGAATGGACGTGTTCTCCGATGCTGCTGCGAGACTATTCATTCTTCAGTCTTTCTGGAAAGCAATTCAGCAAAATGTCACAAAAATCCTCTATTTTTCAATGACTGCAGACCCTGGGTTTTCACTGTCAGGTCAGGAGTTTATCCCAGTGAAATAAGTGCACTCTCTTTGCAAAGAGTTTTTCCCAGATGGCAAGCATGGGCTGCTTCCCTAGTGACACGTGGAGCTATCCAGTGACATATTCAGGCAATAGTCAGGGCTGGTACACGAGATGGCCACCGATAATATCATCGACATATTTAAAGAGGAGGAAGTTCAAGTCCTAAGACTTAGAGAAAAAACAAGTTACAAAACCTATGCCACAATAATTGCATTTTGTGGAAAGAAAATGGATGAGACAATATAACCTAAAATGTTCACATGGCTATTTCATGTTTTATCATACACAAAGATCTAAGAAACATTTATTTAAAAAGATAGATAGAGCCTTGGCTGGCCGTGGCTCAATGGTTAGGGAGTCGGCCTGCTCACTGGAGGGTCATAGGTTCGAATTCTGGTCAAGGGCACCTACCTGGGTTGCAGGTTTGATACCCAACCCTGGTCGGGGTGTGTGCAGGAGGAAACCAATTGATGTGTCTCTCTCGCATGGATGTTTCTCTCTCCCCCTTTTCCCCCTCTCTCTGAAAATCAATGGAAAAAACATCCTCCTTGAGTGAGGGTAAAAATAGAAAGCAGGAGTCCAGATCACAAGCCCATAGGAAGAGGGGGCTGCGTTCTAGTCCTTGGTCTGCCTCTGCTCTGAGGCCTTGAGGAGGTTGTTTGGAAGTGCATGCCAGTTAGGGCTCATCCGGGGAAGTGCAGGTCACTTAGGGCTCCTGGGAAGTGCAGGTCACTTAGGGCTCCTGGGAAGAGCAGGTCACTTAGGGCTCCTGGGGAAGTGCAGATCACTTAGGGCTCCTGGGGAAGTGCAGGTCACTTAGGGCTCCTGGGGAAGTGCAGGTCACTTAGGGTTTGTGGTGCTGCATGTAACAGAAAACTCATCTAACAGTGGCTTCAACTCACAAGCTAGTTTTCACAATCCTAAAGAAGTCTTCAGGGCGATGCCCTGCTTCAGGGAGAAACCGAGTGTCCAGGTTCCGGCTCTGCTTTGCTGTCCTTGAGGTGCGCATCTTCCTGGTTGCAGGTGCCTTTCCTCCAGCCATCACGTTTCCATTCCAGGCGGAAAGAGAAAGGAAAGGCACAGGCGCACACCAGCGTCGTTGGCTTTGTTTCCCTTAAGGTCCCACATGTTGGACTGCTGTGTACATCTCACTGGCCAGGCAGGTTCCCCTGGTCACTCACTGCCAGCCAGCTACAGTGGGGTGGGGAGGTATTTTAAATTGGACACGGTGCACGCTGAACAAAAATCGGCATTCTACTGGGAGGAGGGGAGATGGGTGTTGGCTGAGCCACTAGCATAATGGGGAGCCTGACAGAGAGAGCCAGCCCTCAGTGTGCTCGTTATAAAGCTGAAATGTCACGTCAGGAGCTTTTACACGGCTCGCGAACTATTTTCATCTCTCTAAATGGGTCTTTCTTGACTCAGCATATACCCCAAGTGTTTCCTGCGACTCTCATTTGTACCCTCACTTGAATCTCCTTCTTGGCAAATGCCCAATGCATGAGACCGTAACATTTTCCTTTATTTATAAACAATCCTTTCTGGCTGTTTAGGGAAAAAAAAGAGAAGGATAATTAAAAAATACATAATTACCCAAAGACTCCATTAACGGTGCTGCGATGTCCCAGCAGGGATCCTCCAACCCAGAGAATTCGTGATCGCTGGACCTGGAGAGGCGTAATGAACAAATGTCACAGGAGACTAGCTCTCTGAATTATTGATTGGAAGGGGTTTTCCAGGCTCTTTGGGTCTAATTGCACTCTCAGAGAGATGAAGCCGACAGGAAAGGCAGGATGCAGAGATTTAGAGGAGCAGAGAGGGTGGAAACCGCTGCACTGCACTCCCTGTTCTGAAAAGCTGCCCCAGGGCTCCTGGGCACAGACTCCCAGCAGAGGGGCCTGGTGCGGGGAGCCAGGGAGGGTGTAGAATTCCTGCTGGTGCTCTGACAGGAGGTTGCTCTCTAGGAGTGCTGTGCCCCACCCTGTTGAGGGAGCAGCCTGGGTGCTGGCAGGTGGAGGCAGAGCATCCTTTCCCTGCACACCTGCCCTGAGAATCTCTGGATCTTAGCCAGGCTCCCGAACCTGTGTTCCTGAGGATTTCTGGGCCTCCCAGGAGACATAGGCCTCTTGGGACTCAGACCCAATTGTAGGTGAAGGAATCAAGATTTAGCAACTAAGAGGCTGCCTAGTGCTCTCGGGGGAATGTCTGAATAATTTAGAACCCGTCCACAGGAAGATGGGCTGCCTGGCCTGGCTCCGGGCTGGGGTGCTCTGTTGTGTGTCATGTGGTATGTGTATGGGGGGGGCATTCTGATGGATGCTAAACCAGGCCTAGGGAGCTTGTCACAACTTCCTGTTAGGGGTGACAGTGCCGGCTGCTTTCTGCCTTGCCTGTTGGGCCTGCTCTCAGTCCCCTCAAAGTGCTAGTTCCTGCCATACGTGTCCCTCACATCTTGCTTTCCTGGCACACTCTTCTCCTCCCCAGCCTCTGCCCCTCGGGCAGGTGGCAGGTGTCGTGGATGCTCCCTCTCCATCAGAACTCTGCTGAGCTGTCTTCTCCTCCGGGAGGAATGGCACCTCCCTTTTCTGCTGTAGGTCAGGGCCTTCTGTGTGCCTCCCCCAAGACTGTGAGCAAGACCAGGCTGTTTCACTTCCCCTCTTGATCTGTTGAACATGCTCACCATCTCACCCCCCACCCTGGAGCTCTCCCTGAGCT